TGCACAAAATATCACGGTAAAAAGTTTTTAGAAATGTGAAAATAGTGCCGCGCGATTGGATGCCCAGCGAAACGAAATGTTAAACGTATTGTGGGCAGGAACGATGGCTCAATCTGAACATGAATGGTTTCTGATGGCAAATCAAAAGTTAGATATCTATGAGCGTCTTGTACTAAAGTCATGTCGAAGAGTTGCTGCTGAACCATCAAAGTCATTCAGTAAAGCATTCATACATGCTTTTACTTTAGTTACTACTATTGGTAAGTTATGAAGAAAAAATTAATTAATTAATCGTATAATTTCATTTCAATTAAAACACTGTTTACAAATTTGATTTTTATCCACAAATTAAATTTATTTAATTAAATTTTCAAAAATTTTTCATACCTAATACAAGAATTGAAAAGATCGAATCGTCTAGTAATACTTTTTGAATGATCAGTTAATTTATGTTTGCTCAGTTTAGATCAATTGATTTTGTTTATAATATGCTGTAGTATTTTTTTTCCTATTATTTTGAAAGTGTAGAAGATTCTTCTAATTTTGCAGGATTTTTGGATGAAGAAAACTTTTCGACCCTTGGAAAAATAGTTGCAATTAGTTATGCAGTTATCGGGATACCCTTGGCTCTTTTATACCTTGGCCAATGCTCTAAAATGTTTGCTGGGCTTTTTTCTGGTAATCACTTGCTTATAGCGGCACTTGTTACCGTTTTTGCTGCTGCGGTAATTTTCGATGTCATTGAAAAATCAGATGATAATACGGTATGTGCATTATCTCTGTTTCTGAAATATATGATTTTATTTTTAACAAATTTTTTCTTTAATTCTTTAGTTGACTTATACAAAGCATGCACGTAACACATTCATTCCGTATTTAATACTTTATATTTTGAAGCTTTTTGAATAGTTGAAATGCACGAAAAAAGTAAATACAATTATTAATTTAACTGACAAACATATCAATATTGTCAGTTCTTGAGGTTACCAAATATTTGAAGTAATTCTAATGACAGCATTAAAGGAGCAGTTGAATGATGTTCAAGAGAGAAAATGCAACATTTGCAAATTGCCTCAGATATTTTATTATAAGTTTAGACTCTGACTTTCACTGCTAGTAATTTCCGCCTATGTAACTTTACTGATATATTTTCATTCCATGTCTTCATTATTTGCATTTTAGTTCTTTCAAGAAGCATTTTAATTTGGAATAAAATCATATTCATGGAATTTTATCAAAGTTTGTCATAACTTATGCAATATACTTTTTAATCATGCAATTACATGTTTCAGCCTTTTGTTGATGCGTTTTTCCACGTTTTTTTATTGTTCTCAACAGTGGGAAGTTGCAGTACGGAACCACCGATTGCGCTAGTCATTATGGCTTTGATCGTAACTGGTTTAATATCAATATCATATGTACTGATTGACCGTCGAATCGAAAATACTTTACAGGTTAAATTAACATCCTCTCAACCAGCTAGCAGTTATAACTTTTAATAAATAAAATACTGGAAATCTTAAAGAAGGCTAGTTTATTCAAATTTGCTGCAATGAAATGTGTAACTTGTGAGTAATCCTTTGGAAGTTTTTCAAAGTTAAAAATTTGATAAGTTGTAAGCTTCCATCTACAAAGTTTTTGTTCTCCGTATTTCAATTTTTGATCTTTTCAAACATTTGTGTTGATATTAAGACTGCTTTTTTTAATGGCAACAAATTTCTTAATCAGGCTGTAATAATAGACAGTGAAAATTTTTGCAGGGATGTGAATTACTGTTCAGCAAATATTTTGGGATTATTCGAAGATGGATGTGTAGCAAGGAGGATGTAGAGGATAACAAAATCATAGAAGAAGAAGAAGAAGAAGAGGAAGAAATAGAATCTGATACATAGCTGACTTCTTTTATCTTTCTTAAATCTTCTTTCTATTAGGTAACACTGACTTCTATGTAGCTTTAGTGGTAACTGCATTGCAGCATATATTATTATCTTCATTGTTTCGATTTAGTTATGATTATTCCTAATATGGCACACTAAAATTTCGTCTCGAAGCATATATATA